CAGCCTCAGGGGGTAACACGAGGGTATACACAGGTGACCACTGAAGGGTCTGTATGGCCACCCAGGAACTCATCACGGTACCAACCCTCACAATGCCCACTTGAAGCAACGCCTATCTAGGGATGCCCGCCAGACAAGATAGTTGATTCAGGCGGGCCTCACTGGACATCCTGTTTTACCCCGATCTCCTCACCGAAGATGTAGTGAGGTGAGGAGATCGTGCTGCGATCTCCCTCTCACTACCTAGAAAGGAAACATATTACATAAGCAACAATAGTAAGAGAAGAGGACCCACCAACAACGCTAGACTTGGTGTTTCCCAACACGAGATACATCCTGACAAAATAGAATACGAGAAGCTTCTAGAAGCTAGTGACCACTGCATTGCTATTATTGAATACATAGTAGAGCTGAAGGAGTTGGTTACACAAAGGAACCTGATGAGAGGCACTTTTTTGCATGAAGTCCAGTAAGAAAGAGAAATGAAAAGAAAGACTGCAAATGAGATGAGACATCTTAATTTGCTGCTAAATGTGCTCGTACAACGGATTGACTTGTCCTCCTTAACAAGGAGGTGGACATTCTGACCCAGACTGGTGGACAGTCTGACCCACTTAGCTGCGGCACCAATCTTGGTGCAAACCTTTGCACTTTTTTAATTTTGGCTTTATGCTTCACAAGGTGCAACCAGGACGCCTTGAAGGAGTCGTGGTTGAGGTTTCTAACGATGTTCTTGTAGTTGCCAGCGTCCCATAATTGGGCCATGTTATTCTGTCATAGTTGAGAGAGAACGAGAATGACCGCCTTAGCCTCAGATCCTGTCCCTCCTGGTGCCTGAGCAACACCCGGTGGAGCCACAGATCTGTGCAGCAGCACTTGACAAAGTCGTCCGAGGCGATAACGCCCTCAACAGCACGGTATTCCTAGTGATAATTGGAAGGTCTGCTGGCACGGAGCTTTCAAGAGGAGGCGATATTTAGAGATCTGGTCCTTAGGTTCAAGTGCCCAGATAGTCAGAGGTGCGACCCTTAGCCTCAAGCGCTGCCGCTGTCTGACTCTGCTAAAGGAACGCCGGCCCTATAATGTGGTGGTGGTGGCGGTGGTGGCTTGGCAGTGGAGCATTACTCCGCCTCTCACGGGAAGTCTGGGGATTCAAACCCCATTTTCAAATATATATAGCACAAATAATTTGTACATAACTGACGGTAATATCGTCAACTTTAGCGGACGGGCTGCGCCTCTCACCGGAGTCGGGGGCATGAGGGCATTGCTGTACCCAGGGCCTACAATGCTCCTAAGACGGCCCTGTCCCAGCCTCTGCTCCAACTAGTGAGCCTGGCCTGCCTACAGCCTCCATAGACTAACTCTCGTGCTTGAGATCCACAGCCTGGAGTTTAAGTGTGCTTATCGACTGATGCTAGATATAGAGTCCAGCCAATCAGGTACGGACGCTGCAGTGTGACGTTACGGGACGATCTTATTGGCCACAAGAGCTTCTAGGAGAGGAACGACGCGTGACTTTAACGCTAGAGAGTGAGCGCCATTTTTGACTGGCCAGAGAAATGTTCTACCTGACCACCATACATTTAAAAAAAATACAAATATACCTAAATACGTCAGATTTACTCGAAGACACACTCGGTTACGAGTACGTATGACCCAAGAAGAGTTGACAAGTGTTAAGAGTGGAGAAAGGTTATCGAGTTATTAGAGCTACCTGAGTGCAAGTGAGGCAATACCAAGAATATCGAAGTTATCTTAACGCACTAACGGTTACACACACACATAGATGTACACAAGAAACGGGTATAAGTTTGACTAACACACCGACGTGTATAAAAAGCACATTTGTTGCAGTCTCAGTAGTCCTTACTGCTGAAGTTGACAGCTGTTCACTCCGCCCCTGACGAATACACTCCAGAGGAAAGAGTACACAGATAAGAGTATTGTTATCATGATGAGCAACAGGTGTTGATAACAGGTGTACTTACCATACTGGCAGCGCGAGCCGTAGAAGCCGTCCGGACAGATGCAGCGGTTGTAGACGCAGTAGCCGCCATTGAAACAGAAGATGCGTGAGTGGGTAGGTGTAGTCTGGGCTAGTAGGACTAGCCCCACCACCGCCCACACCCACGCCCGCACACCGCCTATAATCTCTCGCATTCTTCTACCTCTCATCTCTGACTGCGTCTCTCAAGCAGTCATAAGCGGCACTTGTGGCCTCCCGGATCGCCGCCGCTCATTCTTCTTCCTACACTCAACAATGTTACTTCGTTCCTAATTGTTGTGGCCGCGGTGGTGGTTGTAGAGGCTGTGGTGGTGGTTGTAGAGGCTGTGGTGGTTGTTGTAAAGGCTGTGGTGGTTGTTGTAGAGGTGGTGGTGGTGGTTGTAGAGGCTGTGGTGGTGGTTGTAGAGGCTGTGGTGGTGGTTGTAGAGGCTGAGGGGTCAGACGAGGTTGCAGGCGAACACTGGCTGGTCTCCTAGCCGCCTGCCTTTCATGGTGTCGCTAACCTTACCCCCTTATTGTTTCTTAGTGGCGGCTACGTCTCACCTACACTTCCCGCCCTCAGGCATCATGGCCACCACTCTTGTTGGTGTTCTCTTCCTGTGTCTTGTGTCTTATGTCACCTGTTGGGTTTACACAATCATCACGTGTAGTTGTTTATGTGGTCATCACACACACGGGTTGTTTAACAACACTTTCTCTTGAGATATCGGCCACAACTTGGGCTAAGTTGTCACAACACTGGTATTTAATCAGCTGGTCATCTCAGCGTCTCCCAGGTCTGCTGTAGTGCTTCAAAAATATAATGTTTAATAAACCTTAACAGAAGACCTGAAACAGACGAGAATACTAGTGAGTTTAAGTACAATTTAAAACAATATTACAGTACAATCAGTTAATCATTCAGGCAACAAGTCTCATGGTGAGACTAAGGGCTCAGGCTTCTGTAACTAAACTGAGAGCAGGTCGGACGTTAGCTGTGTCGCTCCCTCTTTTTACAAATTCTAATTCAAATTACCTTCTACAAATTACCTTCTCTAATTACAAAATTACAAATTACCTTCCATTCCATTCTCTTCTCTCCTTAATCTTTACTTTTCCAGGTTTAGTAAAATACCATTATTGTTACGTGCCTGGCTGGTCATGCACAACGTCTCATGCACCCAGTATTCACAACGTTCACAACGTCATTAAACTGACGTACTAAATTGCCGGAACCTAACCTACCCGAGGATCCACCAGTAGAAAACAGGACCACGTCAATTTCGCCAGCCGCTTCTATTTTCCGTACATCAGTTTTTGGCCTCAGGGAAAGGTATATGTCAAAATACGACGTACTATACAGTAGGGCGGGTCGCAATGTTAGTACATGTGCTTTCGTGTTCTTCATGTTACAATATATTTTGCTTGAGGTAAAGATAGATGATGTTTTACCTTGGCGTGTGTGTTTACCCTGGGAGGGGGAGGGGGCGGCGGCCGTGTTCCCCCAACACCCACTTCAGTTCTGGCGCTACAATCTTGAGATCCGATCCTTCAACCGTATTATTGTGGGCCGCGATTGTCTTCCCCCGCCCTCCACCCCCTCTACAAGGTATAGCTACACATACCACGTGGTGTTCGTCCCGCCCTGGACTGACATCGGCGCTGACAAGAGTCAGCTGACAGTAGTGTCAGCTGCTTTACCAAGATCCTGGCTTGGGGAAATAGAATTAGAGTTCCAAGTTCCGTGAAGAACAAATAGATGAAGGGCCGCTCGCCAGGTGTTGTGCGGGAGCCCGGGCGGCGCTAGAAGGGACGAGTGGGCGAACTCAATCCCGGATTATGTTCTCCCTTTTGTTCCTAGCTAAGCTGAGTGAAATGTCGTGTTCCCGACCTGAGGCGAGACAGAACCTTTATGGCTTGATCCTCCAGCGCCGTGAGCCTCAGGGGCAGAGCTCATCTTGCCGGAAACGCTGTGCGTACTAGTGACTTTAAGCATAGTATGTACTACCTCTATCATTCTGTTTGTAACTCACTTTGTAAATATTTTTACTTGGATAAACATTATCATCATCCTTGTCATTATTATTATTGAACAAATCCACAGAAGCCATGGTGAGGGTTCGAACACAGGCGCTTTGTGTTCGCCTTAGTCCACTGTACCACGACAGGGTAAAAGAATTGTAACCTGGAATGCTACTGCACCCACAAGGATCCCGAGGCATCTACTGAAGCTTGACCGTGGTGCACACAGTTACCACCATGTGCTCGGGCTGTCAACCAGCAGTACTACCTCTTCTCTTCTGTACTCTCAAGTCAAGATACTTTCTCTACTTCAATACACAGAGAAATCACATTAACTTGATAATAACCACGTTAATGTGATTATTATCATCATTGTTAATCACGATTTATCACGTTAATATGATTTCTGTATTATTATTATTATTATTATTATTATTATTATTATTATTATTATTATTATTATTATTATTCCTGGTGGGGGTGGCGGGCCAGGTTACAGTGTGGTGGGCGTCACACACAGCCGCCATTAATGTCTTCCCGAAAATGAAGAAAACCTCATCTTTTTCATTGTCTCGTTTGTTTCCTTATCTTCTATTTTGTGATGAGAAAAATGAGGAGGTGATGTGAAATATAATGAGGAGGAGGAGGAGGGAAGGGGGCTTGCACCAAGAGGGTGTACACAGGAGCAGGTTGCAACATGTGCATACTGTCTGGTGCTCACGGGAACTTTATGACCAATCTCCCGCCACTTGTCTGACCATCCACACCCCTCCGACTCCTCCTACTCCTCCTCCTCCTGTCCCGCCTTCTCAACTTGTTCCGTTTCCTTCTTCACTACACGATCTTGTTTATTTACAGTTTGCCCCGAGGGTGAGTTTATTGGGCTGCATGACTCACCCTGCGAGTAGTATATGCATATCATCCGGACCAGGCAGTGTGGTGTAGTCATTGCGCGAATTGGCTATAGACACATCTGGCAGGTTAGTGAAGCCGAGCCACTACCAGAATATTCAGATTGTAAACTCTGTGATAAACCTCTAATGCATTCACTAAAACACTATATTGTTGAATGTGAAACCGTAAAAGATTTTAGATCTCCTGGCCTATTATATCACCAACTGTGTAACTATTTCATTGACTCGGGTGTTCTGGACGACATCCTAACAATTTATCCAAAATTTGCTTGTCTATTTTAAAGAATGAAGAATTTTATTTAAATTACTTCCAAACTGCATCACTTATGAACCCATCCCTACCCTTGTGTGGCAGTGCACAATAGAAAGTTGTTTTCACATATTCATACATTAAAACATTGATTGTAACCATGATATATATATATATATATATATATATATATATATATATATATATATATATATAAATATATATATAATATATATATATATATATATATATATATATATATATATATATATATATATATATATATATATATATATATATAAATATATATATATATATATATATATATATATATATATATATATATATATATATATATGCCACTTTAGACCTATTGTCTTGTGTACGACCCTGTCCTGCGTGACAGTGAATACCAGCATTATCCTCACTTTAATAAGACTTAATTGAAATCCTCAGATTAGGCAAAATTGTAATTAATTTTGTCAATAAAGATGTTAATAATAATCTCATCATATACTCCCTTCACCCACTTCCCAACCCTGTAGCAAGAACACCCGTTGGGTTGTTCATCCTGTCACTTGTACCCAAACACACCTGGAACTCGAGTAAACACATCGTCAAACACACCTGGATTACAATTTACGAACACTTCCTAATTCAATAATTAAATGTGTTTTCCTAATTAAATGTTGGATTGATTATTGTATTCGAATTTCTAACTTGTCTTAGATGGGTCCAGTCTCTCAGGTAACAGTGTAGGTGGTGTACACCTCTCGTAGCCAAGACTCCGTTCCTTAGCTGGGCGGTCCTTGTAGCCAAGACCACTTCTCAACTGGTATAGAGTCTCTCCCTCGCACACCACTCTTCCCGCCATAATGGTTGAGGTTGTCATGTCAGCAGCAACTGCACGGTGCCAGCGTCCTCACTCGCTCATTGACTTATGTTGCTACCGGAAGCGGCTAGTTTATTATGCACCCCATACTCATTCTCTGAGTGGTAGTTTATTGTGTTTATTTATCTATTTTCTGTGTCTACAGAAAATAACAGATAACCGCTTCGTCTGTGTTTGACATTTGTTATAATGTTACATGGACCCTCCTGGCAGGGAGGTGACGCTACTGCTGCCTTCTGCCTACTGCTCCTTCCCACCCATCATCGCCCCCCCCCCACAAGGAGCAGCACCCAGGGCCTCACTGGACCTCGACCTTGGGGGAGCCACCAGGATCTCCGGCACCACCCCCCCCCCACACACACACTCACCACCTGCTCCACGACCACTGTAGTCTGGAGAATATAATCAACAACAAATAAAGCGGCCGCTACACAGGCTCACAGGTGAAAAAAATAAAATAAACATGCGTGTATAAATCAGATTAGAGGGACTAGTGGGGTGGGACGTGGCCTGCTGGCAGGGCCTCGACGCGCGCGCCAGGACAACACGGCCTCATGGTACAAATACACGTCTAAACATTTAAACATTTGCTGGGACAACGACATGTCAGGCGGTGTGGTCGGTCACCCAGGTGACTACAGTGTCACCTGGTGTACCGTGTGTCACCAAGCGTACAACGTCACCTAGCCTACAGTGTGTCACCAACCCTATAGTATGTCACCTAGCCTATAGTGTCTTCTAACCAGCCCTCCACCGCCCCACCAGCCCAGTATGGCAGTGGAGGGCGAGGTGCCATATTAGGGTGGCAGGGGTTAGGGCGTGCTGGCACCCCAACCTTGAGACCAACAGTGCCAAAGCATCACGTCAGTGCCTCTTCACTACAGTCCAGGGGATGGCACTCTCCTGACTTTTCTTTTACATTTTTAATTTTGCCCCGAGAGTCGAGTTTATTGGGCAGCGCCACTCATCCTGTGAGCGGACACAGCATCCGTCCATAGCTCCCTCTCGCCCCGTCTCTTACTCTCCACCTTCACCCCCCCCCCCCTCCCTGGTCAAAAATATCACTGATGCTCTTAAATATATACAATCAGGACCAGGTGAAGCTGCTAACATTCCGAGGTCAGAGGTCAACAGAAGGCCTCGGCTCAAACTGCTCGTTAACCACTTTAGTAATCACTGCTAAATACTGTACAGCTGCATGCAATGCATATGATGTACATAAAAGTAGCAAACAGAACAGAATAAAGAACTACAATGATTTATATAAAAAAAGGTAATGGCAATCAATGTTATGCAAGTAGGCCTCCTCACAAGTGTAGGCCTATACTAACTGGCCAAACCTGTTCCCCCTGAACCCTTCTCTAGCCCTGAACAGAAGAGGGCAACACCTGTCAGCTCATTGTTCCACCTGTATGAACAATATCTATTTACCCGAGGGCACTCTCTCTATAGGCCTCGACAGGGACAGTAAGCCGGCGGCACGTCAATTTTTGTGTTTATATCGTATTTATCGTTATATATAAAATCCTGATTATGTGACCCACATTGGTGACCCCCCCCCCCCCCCACCAGGACCTTCTCCAGGAAGGCGACCTCATAGTGGTAGTTCCCTGCACCATCTTTATTCATAGGCTTTATTGTAATTCTATTTTGTTAATATTTTAACCAAAAATTTGATTTTTTAATTCATTCTGTGATTCTTCAACTACTTTACTTACCAAGACAAGTCTTTCTTCACTATGATACTTGAGATATTTTAACAACTTGTGTC